ATTTTGATATATTTTGTTATTCTACTAAAATTGTAAAAATGGAGTTTCCGTATAAATAAATAAATTAAATTCGGTTCGTCCTGTATATTATCGGTATCATTTTAATATCTGCTATGTGCAGAATTATAAATTTGAGTAAATTAGCTTAATGGTATCAAATTGGGCTTTAGAAAAATTTGCAGTCGGAAAATAAAATGAATTATTTGTAGTACCTAGGATTTTATACACGCAAGAGGTACTTTTATTAGAGTTAATCCTGAAATACAATTACTAAATAAAAAATGCCCTACAACACAATTACAAACTATGGACGTAAATAAATAGAGATATGGAATTTTCAACATGGATATTACACCTTATAGTAGGTTGAACAAGGTAAATAGGAACATTCACAAATCAGGCAGAGACTGATGTCTCTCATCACACAACAATCTCTGTAGTGGAACAAACCGAGGTCGAAGTCATATTAATGCTCCCCGACAGCAGTCTTTCTTTGTTATTTGCATGTTCCTATTATCCTTCTTCAACCCATTGCTAGGTATAATATCCATGTTGAAAATTTCGTACTTGCTGTTTATACACAACTCTTTACACAACTACATCTTAAACTAGAATAGCTGATGAAGTGCTATAAGACCAATTAAATTATAGAAAGTTCTATAGTACAGATATATTTATGGGTCACAAAGTTAAACAGTAAAGAAAATAATTAGGGTCAGTTACAAATAAAACTAACAAAGGAGAAACATGCATTTCATTGAACATGCCTTTGGCCTACTCATTTAAAGGCGTTAAATGGCCAACCCATTCAATAAACGCCCTTGTTGGAATGAAGTATTGTATTAATGTAGAACACTGTCATCTAGGAAACAAAAGAGGATAGGTTTGCAACAAACATCGAATTGTCAGATTTTGCAGTGTGGAAGTTTTCTGTAAGTATCTGCTTCGTTATTAAAAGTTAAGCTTGGAATAGTTGGAGTCGTCCAAGCCTACCTAAAGTCTCACACCTTGATTAGTATTAGAACAATAGATTCTATGTGTTCAGATGTTATTGTTCTACTTATTTATCCTAAGCTAATCTAGACTAAAGACCTTTCAAAAAATATACTGATCCATCCACAAGTAGGGTTGTTGTAAGCAAAATGGGAACGACCTTCCTGGCATAATATCACTTGAAAGAGCAATAATATAATAAGCTCATGCCCACCTTACTATAAATATCAGCCATCAGCTGTTCTGGAATCAACAGAAAAGGTGCTGTATTGGGATAGGCCGATAACAACGGACAGGACAATTGACTACAATAAACCAGATGTCGTCATTATCGACAAAAAAAAAAAAAAGAAAACAGGATTGAAGATCCATATAGCTGTACCACTGTCATACAACATCACTAAAACCTAGACCGAGAACACCAGGAAACATGAAAACATGTCATATGAATTAAAGAACATCTGGGAACTAATTGAAGTATCCATAGTTTGTTCCACTGGTGATATCAGCGGATGGAATTGTAAATCAAAACACTTCACTAAAAATCTCCAAGATATAGGATTATCAAAAACCATAGTGAAATATGCACAGAAAGCAGTCATTTTGCAAACCTGCCATATCGTCCGCAGGTTCTTAAACAGTACCTAAATGGAACAAACTGAATTGTTTTCCTGCTAGGTTGTCCAAGCCCATACATATTGTATAGCAAAAATGTATACCAGCATGTGCTGAGAGCACGAAAATAATAAAAATAATAATTATAACAGTCTTTATTTTAAGGAACAATCATAATACATATAAGTAAGACAATTCCTTGATATTTACACCAAGGAGGTTGCTCTGACGACAATGACACGCCTCCGCACGGTTTGAATAGAACCTGATTTAGGATCTGGTGAGGCAAGACGTCGCTTTTGGCAGGAGGCGCTCGATACGCTCCCACTGCTTCAAGAGAACATAGACTCAATCTCATAAAGGTATATTTTCCATAAGCCATATAAAGTTATATTAGAACAGACCACGAATTTACTCAGGTTTAGTACTAGAATGTCAGGAAGCTTTGGCCAAGAAAGCCAAGAAAGCAGCCAACCAAATACTTTTTGGACCTGGCCCTACTATTGGCCTGACAAAATCGGTAGTGACAGACCTAATTAAAAAACATTCCCTTGTGAAATTCAAGGTAAGATAGGATGAAACAAGAAACTGCAGAGTTGCCAGGGAGCTTTTAAGTTATTCTGACAATAATGCAGCAAACAAATACTTGACTATGACTAGACAGAATCTGCGCCTAGTCACAGGCATTCTGACTGGTCATTGCCAAGTACGGAAGCATCTCCATATCATGGGGCTGTCAGAATCCGCACTATGCAGAAGATTTGTGTTTGGCAAGTATCAGCTAACACCGACCGATATAAGAGAAGCACCTCTTGGCGACGTTGTCAACTACATTAAATCTGTAGGCTGGCTCACGAGCTAGGAGGTACTTATCATCTTAGGAGGATGCACAATGGGCCTAATGAGGCCTAAGTGCCGTGGGGGTAACCCACCCACCACACGTTACAGATACAGAAGACAATTCTTTAACAAAACAGTGTCACGGAAAATATATTAATGATCACATAGAGTAATATTCATTAATTGTATATGGTTTTAATTAAACATTTGCTAATCTTTTTATTGTATCAGGCAGTTTATTGTACAACTTTACACAGCTGTACCCTGTTCCATATTCTGTAACTGTCAGCCTATGTATTGGATATACTAGGTTTATATTTCTCAATATACAGGGTGGGGCATAATGGAGGGGCATTTTTAGATCGGCTAGTAAACGCGAACGGGTGGGGGTAGAGAGCCGCGGTTGACATCGTTGGATTCAGGAAAGCTTAGTTTGTTATTCCCAATGGTTATCTGGACAAGAGAGCATCGCGTGTTCGCAGTTAAGGAGTATTTAAAATTCGGCGAGTCCGTTATTGTTGTGCAGCGACAACGCTTCAATATCGGCCGTAATGGTTCAGTTCCTACCATGAGCTTATAGGGGTAAAAGTGAAGGTCTTGGTGTAAAATCCTGCAAAGTGTTCAACTAGTCATTCGAACTGCTGCAGCCCGTTTTCGGACAGAACGATGTGGACTTTGAATTACTGCTTGTCTCACCCTTTCTACGGAAGCTGGTGTCCTTACACTTCGGGGACGGCCTTTAGGTTTTGGATTAATTGCTGATGCCGTCATTCATACCCACCTGTTGATTGTGTCACGTTTAGGAACTGAACCGTTCTAAAATACACCGTAATAGAAAAATTGGAGGAATAGTGCTAAATTTAAATTTTTCAGTATTTTCGTTTTCAATGAATATCTATAGAAAAATGTTTCGAGTTATATGTATGTGGAAAATGTATATATTTAGTTTATCCTCTAAACATTTATAGAGGTGTTGCAATAGGTTGTACAAAATAACCGGAAAAAGCCTATAATAATTAGATAGTAAAGTCATGTGTTGGACACATCAGATTTTTTCAATCTCATATAGATTAGTTGGATGTTCCCCCATCCATACCTCAGCTCCAAATTCAAATTTTTGTCTAACTAGAGCATAATAAAGAATTCATGAAATATATTCGTTCAGTTGAAGGCAATATCATCCTTTTTCGTTTTGTAATCTGTGCGTAGATAAGGTAATATCCATGTGGGTGCAGAACATTTTTTTTTAGATATTGTTGATATATTGGGCACTATTTTTCCACATAATCGCCATCCCGTTCAACGCATGTGGTGTGCCGTGGTACAGCTTCTTTATGCCCTCCTCGAAGAAATCTCCTGCCAGCTCCTTCCCCCCACTTCAGAACCTCTTTCTGCTTCTACTCGTCAGTTGAACACTTAAATCCCCCCCTTGAAGGAGGTAAAAGGATGATAATTCGAAGGCAACAAATCTGGGGAATATAGTGGGTGGTTCAAAACATCACAACCAAATTGGTCCAAAGGTGCATTGGTGACTAAGGCTGTATGAGGACGGGCGCTGTCGTGCAAAAAGCACACTCCTTTCGTCAGCATTCCCCTCATTTTTTTTAAATAGTCCTTACAAATTTTTTTAAGGCCACACGATATCGTTGGTTCTGCAAGTAAGAAGAGGATCACAGCATGTGGCTCTTACTTGACAGGATTCTTACAGACATATTCCAGGCAGCTGAATATAACAATGTAAGTTTACTTACTACCGTGTTCCTGCGATGCTCACTCTAGTCAGGAAATCCCCCTTTACCATGTTGCAAACCCTCAAAAAACAAAAAAATCACATTACGTTATGGTTACAGTGCACTTACTTTCTGAATATGCCTCGTAGATCAAATTAGAAATAACAGCTTATGGGAAAAGTAGATTTTCATCCACAGGCGTGTGACATAGGGCATTTCCAAAGGACTAAACAATGCAAAATATAATAAATAATGCTGTATATAATTTTTCAGCAACTATTTTACGAAATGACGCACGCACCGTCGTGGTTTTTCAGACTATCATCGAACTATTACACGTAACCCAGAAATACGATGTAAGCGGCAACTCAGCGCACCGTAAAACAAATACCGAATTTTAACTGTGCCGCAGTATAGAAAAGCGATAGGTGTTGGGTAACTGAATGGGAAAAGACATAATTATAAAAATGTAATGTAATGTTTTTTTTTATGTATTATTAGTTACATTATTTGTGATACCGTTCTATCTCTAAATTTTTTTAAGCGTTCATAATCGATATCACGGCGTAACCGAATCGAGTTTAACATTTTGCATTGTGTGGATAACAAATAATAGATAAAAGGGCAGTGTTTAATTTTAAACAGTAACAAACTGATTAGAAAAACAAATTTACAGATGGTTGAAAGAACAATAGGTTGCATGTATGAATTAAAATGAATGAAATAAATATATATAGTCGACCCAGTCTAAAGGAAAAAGTCAAGATGATGATGGTGATTCAAGAGTTAAAATAATTAAAACTATAATTAAATATAACGTACCTTACATTCAGCCTGTTCTGGCTCAGACTCCTGTTGCGGCGGTTCCACAGCCGGAGGTTCGGGCGACTTTTCCTTCACCGCGATTTTCTCAGCAATCTTCTGAGGACTAATAGATGCTTTCACAACCGTCGAGGGGGGTAACAGCGCTTCGATATCCACGCCTTCGGTCTCGTTCATTACTGGGTTGATCGGCAAAGCGGGCGGAACGGGCGAAGGCGTCATTGGCATGGTGGCACTGGGAGTCGAAGTGGGCGTGGCTATAATCGATAGGGGCGTAGGCGTACGCGATTTATCATCTCTAGATTTTTTCGAGAGTGGTTGGTCTAAATCGCTTTCATGAACTGGGGGGTGTTTTTCAATTATTTCCAGAGATTCTCTAGGCCTTTTAGGCGTCGACGTCGAAGCCAAGAATTTGTTCTGCTCTTCGCTCATTGCTTTGGCCATAAGTTCGATATTGGTACGACTGAAATGCTCCAAGGCCTCTTTCATTTGTTGCTCTTGTGATCTCTTAGTCGAATGGCTGACTTGGGCTTCTAGTAGTTTCGTAAAATCTGATAAGTTTGGTAAGGCAGTCTTTTTCTCTTTTATAGAACTAGAGAAATCAGTCGGTAGCATACCTCTCAGATTTTCCAAAGCTTTTCGTTTATCCTCCTTCTTATCGTTCTTGGCTTGTTGTTTGAGAGTGATGTCCAAGTTGGCAGCTTTGGAGATACTTTCTAGGATTTGAGTATCGGGCGGAAGAAGTAATTGCTGTAGATGCGCATCTCTGCTAGTCGTTCTAGGCCTGCCCTGTCCAGAAGAGGTAGTAGTGGTTGCCGACGGAGGCCTTGATGTGGGCATTTTGCCCATTTTGGAGCTGCTAGTCGGAGAAGCTGCTGGATTAAGACTGCCGTTAAGTAAACCGCACTGTTGCGCTAAAGTATCGTAGGCCGCTGACATTCCCGGCTGCAGAGACAAAGGATTCAATCCGCCCAAACCGAATGGCGAATACAACAAACTCGGATTCGGGAAAAAGAATGGGAATGGATTAGTAGTTGGTATGTTACCACTCTGACCTTTACTCGAACTGTGTGCTTCTTGAGGTTTATTGGACTTGCTCGTACTAGTGCTAGATTTTGACATACTTTTTGAGGTATCACCTGTCCCACCTTGCAACGCCGATGGGTCCATGCCGCCTAAACCGGGCAATCCTAAGCCCGCCAAGTTTGCAAACAAATTCATGTTTGTGAGATTTCCAAGACCTCCCATCGAACCAAGAGCTCCCATGTTGGGTAAACCAGCGAAAGGCATCAGTAAAGGATTCGTTTTTGGATCAAACTGTCCTAATCCAGATAGACCTGTGAGTAGGTTCGAATTTAGCCCAGCCAACGATGAAGTGCCTAATGTAGGGAAAGACATGCTGGATGGTAATGAAGTTACTAAATTGGCGGAACTAACGCTGGATGTAGACCCAGTGGGGCTGGATAGTAATGGTGGTCGACCTGGTACATTGCCCTTACTCTTGCCGCTGTTACCGGAACTACCACTAGGTTGACCTAAAAAAAAATAACGATGTAATTAAAATTATCAAAAGGATTTTTACAAGGATGATTTGAAAAGTTTTCGGAATGAACTGTAGATGGCACTGGTAGAAATTTGTTCCATCTTTCGTCTTCTTTCAATGCAATCCATTTTTGTATGCATTTTTAGGCGAGTTTAATTTATGAATCGTTAGCTGACCTTAAATCCCTCCCACTTGACATTTTGTACTAAATGTCTTAGTAAAAAACTCATTTTTTTTTCTTTTTTCGACCCAAAAATATTTGTTATAAATATTTACAAAATCAATACATATTTTTTATGACCAACCGATTCAGAGATAAAGCACGCAGAGTTTTGAATATTATTTTTTATTATTAGTGATGAGTCTTTTCTGGAAAAGTAATTTTTGGACATTTCCGAGGAATATGTCCACACAAATAGTGAAATTTACTCCTTCCCTTTTCTGCGAGTCTTTTGACCTTTTTCCCAGAAACTGCTGAGCATAAAAGATAAACGTTTATCCATCCAGGATGAATTTTCAAAACAAAGAAGTTTGTATATTAAAACGATAATGTTCGAAAAATTAATCAGAGAAAACTATGTTGCAAATAAAAAAAGTTTTACCACAGTATTTTTTATCTCATTATCAGAACTTTTCAAATTCTCCTCGTATTTTTTTTTTTATTTGAAGGATTTACGTATAGGTAAAAAAAGGGATTTAGCGAACAATATTTCTATTAAAAAAAAAAAGAAAAAACATTTTCATGCTTATTACAAATTAAGTTTTTGTTTATTTCTGTTTAATAACGTTAATGTATTTTTCATCATTTGATGAAAATGTTTTTAAAAAATCACACCCATTTTTTATTTTAATATTTAAATACGTTTTACCAAATTTTATTACTTCATTCGATAATTGTTTAACAATCATCAAATAAATATGAAAACAAATAAAGTACCTGGTAGTCTCTTTTGCAAATCATGGCTCAAATTCCCTCTTTCTTTAACTAATTCAGACCATTTAGGATCAATATCATACATAGGATTCTCCATCAACCACTGACCTAATCTCTTCAAAGTAGGTGCTTTCGGCCCAGTCAATTTCTTCCCAGTAACTCTATGAATAACAGCCACATTTTCATCCCCAGTCAATTTTTTCCAATCTAGAAGAGTGGGATCGACTCTCGGTCTTCTTCTTCTAGTCGCCAAATAGTCAGCTGAAAGAGGTTGTTCAGCCAGAGCTGCATTCTGTTCGGCCAACCACTTATTAACCTTGGCTTCGTGCGAATAAGAATTCACTTTCGAACTAAACTCGGACACTTTGCTGATATCGGCGATCATGGCTTCGTAGCTCTTCCTCTGTTGCTGCTGCTGTTGTTGTTGCTGCTTCTTCAGCAACATATTTTGCTGTTCGGCTTGGGCCAGGAAACTGGAGAAGCTGTCTTTACCGCTCGAAGATAGTTGCGGAAACATGCCTTGAGACATACCGCTGCTGCGACTAGACGGAGCTGTGGAAGGTACGGAAGTGACGGTTATGGTAAAAGGTTTTTGTGTGGGATTATGACAGGTGCTTACGGGCGCAGAGGTGGGAGTTACGGTTACGCTGGGAGTGACGGGTTGTTTTTTAGACGGTTCTGGGCTGAATAGGGATTGCTCTTTAGCGGCTGAGAGACCTAAGACGATCTCGTCGAGTTTCTTGCGTTTCTTTTCTTTGCCGATTAGTGGTTCTGGTTCAGGCTGGAAAAAATAAGAGGTGCACTTAGCATATAACAGATATACATTCTCCCAGAAAAAATATAAACCAATATATAACGTAACTATAAATAATTACATAATATTAATAATCTAATTTACATGGAATTTTATTTACCCACGTGTAAAAAGATAGAAAAGTCATATAACTATAATACAGATTCGGAAATTGAAACACGAACCATACAAGCTAAATCAGCGTAAGTAAAAGTGTACTATGCGCGGAGTTATAGCATAGGCAATGCATCGCTCAGTGGTCTTTGTTTGTTTCATGTGTGGTCGTTTAATAAATGTCGAATTCATTGTTAAATAAGAGTCCGCGTACAGATTTCCATATCTGTATAACAATTGGCTTTATAAATTCTGTCCGCCATATTGGATGTCATTTTGAATTTTATATTTTTAACACTAAATTTGTACTCAGCAATAGCAAAAACAATCAGGAAATGGGTTTCACAAAATTATATTCACTAGAATTAAATGTGCAACAAAGGGTTAAGAAAAAAAAATAGTAAATTGTTTTTACCGGTTTTTACTTAAAAAATATATATTTCCTGGATATGGTCTACTGGGCGATTTATGAAATGGTTTTAGGAAGAGTTGAGTCTCGCCTAAAATTCAAGCCAATGATCTCTTTGTTATTGTTTGCTATTCGGAAGTTCTAGTCTTTTAAATATCAGAAACTGATAAAATCATTACTTTTCTAAAATTTAAGATTAAAGTTATTTCCTCCGGAATTACTAAAGCTTAATTTATTGATATTATTTTTAAGCATTAACTTATACTAAAAAAGTATTTCAAGTAATGGTTTGTACGTCTTTAATATTTGAGGAGAGAAAAAAAAGTGCATTTTTACACACTTTATACAAAATGTGATAGAAAATAGTAGTTTGTGCAACAAAGAGTGGATATGATGGCCATATCGCACGAAGACGAAATTTGTCGGTGTCGTGCTCAAGAGTCTGAGTTGTACAGTATATTTTTTTCTACGACCCACTAACAGAAATCTACAATTTAAAAAAATATTTTAAGTTATTAAGACAAAATAATTAATTTTAAAATAATTTATGAATTTTAATAATATTTAAAATAAAATAAATATGAAAAAAAAGTTAATTTCATTTTTCCCATCCGAGAATCGAACTCCAATCTTCTGCGTGGAAGGCAAGAACGCTAACCACAATACAACCTACTCTTTTATTTTTGTTGTTTTAATATTCTTAATTAAATTGACTTCATATAGTTTTATTTAAATTAACAAATTATTTTTAATTATAGACGAAATAAAAAAAGAAATGCTATTATTTATTGATTCTACACAAGAATAACCCATTTTAATGTATGTTTAATCTCAATAACTAAAAAATATACTGACAATTAGTTTGACAGAATTGTCACTTATTTAAAATTTTAAAAATAATAGCAGTTGGTTGATCAAAATATGAACGGTGATTGATGGATTTTATTTTTATCACTACCTAGAATGGATGTGAAATATATTCGTTCAGTTGAAGGCAATAGCATACTTTTCGTTTTGTAATCTGCGCGTAGATAAGCTAATATCCATGTGGGTGTAGAAAAAATAAATTTTTCGACGACCACTACAGAAAATTACATATTCCGAATTGTTTTTTAAACGTCAAAGTAGGCAATTCCGTACACATCCATAATTAGTGTGGAAATATTATTCCACGCGGTAATTCCACACTGTTAACTAAATAATTCGTCCAAATACATACTAAAAAAATTAGTTAATTTAGAAAAAAACGTAAAATGATTTTTAACTTCTGCAATGTTGATTGCCTATACATAAAAGAGAATACAAAAAAAAAAATTCAAATCAAGTTACCCTTTTTAAAATATTGACATTTCAAATCTTGCCATTTAATTTATTTCGATATTTTTTAACATAACAAATAATAAAATAGTAGTGCTTTGTGAATACGGATGTTAGATAGAATATTATAAATAGTTGATGTTATGATTATTCATTAAAGATCTAAAACATTTTAAACTTTAAAAAAGAGAACGTATTCCTATTTGCAAATTAGTGAAATACATATTTACAAGTTTTAAAGAAATATACTTAAGAAATATAATAATAGTGGACCAAAGTTGGAACCTAATGGAATATCATTTAGAAACGTCTAAGTTGGCAGTTTTTCTATTCCAAAAACTAATGTTTTCTTATAAAACGTTAATTTCTTTATGGCGTTCAATAGGAATTTAGAAATCATAATATAGTAGCCAGTCCAACATACCGTAATTAAAAAGGGATTCATCGAGGGGTGAACCACTTATACATTTAACATGTCAACATATTATTAAAAAATGTAATTTTGATGAAATAAATCCAATTTAAACTTGAATTCATTAAAATCGCTACAAATTCTCTAGAAATCACCGAAATCATCATGAAAATCCCAAAATTATCACAGAAATTTTTCGTGGCAAAATTTAAAGGCGGCAGGTGGTGGATCAAAACAAAAAAAAAATGAGCAAGAAAGATGGTACAATAAATCATTGGAAATAATTTTTGATGATTTTGACAAAATCGTAAAAAATCTGGGGGATTTCGACGAAATAATCGAAATCGTACAAATTTTTGGTGAAATACGGGTAAGTTTTGACCTTGGGATTCATTATTAGTATTCACATATTTTTTTATAATTTTTACTGATCAATGTTGGCATTTTTAATTTAATACTAAATTCTTATTGAATTATAACAATGCCGAACTATAGTATGTCACAAAATGTGAATTTTTTATGAGAACAATTTTTTACTTTGAAAAAAAAAATAATAAAAGGTTTTATGTTTTTCAATATTATCACTAAGCGGTAAGACAGTTCATTTGGTATTAAAAACGAAAATTAGCATTTTTGGACATACAATAGTTTTGCATTAACTAAGCAAAATATTTTAGATTCATTAATTGGTTGGGTTTGTCTTGAATCTTCTTCATTTCAGTGATATTGTCTTATAGCCCAAACAGATACCCATCTTTTGATTGGTTAATAGAAATATACAGCGTATTCCCAAAAGTTTTATACGAATGGCAAATTTTACATTTCACAGAAAAATTACTCTTGATAAAATATTCTGCCTCACTTGGAAATCGATAAGTAAGCATGAAATGTGTAAAATTATAAAATTTCCAGTTCAAACTTTAATTGGATTATTTATTGAATAAAGTAAATTGAAATCACTTAAAAATAAGTACAATGATTTAAACTATTTTTTAATTCCTATTAACATTTTAATCAATATTTTGCTCTATATTGAAATTTAAAAGTATTTTACAATTTATTATAAATCATTTTTATTGTCCCTGTATATATTTGTATAAATTTAATGCTTGATTATGAATTCCCAATTGATGCAGAATTTTTTTATTAAGAATATTTTTTCCCATTTCTATAAACCTTTTTGGGACATCCTACATGAGATTTATCAATGAAAAGGTTTAAAATACCAAACAAAAAACGGAAAGCGACGTACAGTGGGGGCAAATCCACTTTTTAGTGGTCAAAAATAATTTTAATGATAATTTTGATTATGGGAATCATTTTGGATGGATAGCAGCCCACATAGCATAATTTAGGTGAAATACAACACAATTACACATAGTTTACAATAAAAATGTATTTATTAGACGCCGTTCATTCTAAGGGCATATAAGATAAACGGTATATCGTAAACGATATGTGACTCGCACAGACATATTTATGAATTCTAAAGGAAGGCGATAAAAATAGGTTCACAGCCGCGCGATACGTTGTGCAATCGCGCGATATGCAGTTCTTAAAACACCGTGTTAAAGAATTATCGCTGAACATACATAAAAAAAATATTGCGACAAATTGAGAACCTCCTCCTTTTTTGAAGTCGGTTAAAAAACAGAAATATGCAATATATTTTGTGAAAGGTTTTCGAAAATAACATTTTATTTTTTAATTTAATTTGATCCAAAAACTCTAAACTTTTCTCTCTGCAAATACGAAATTTCTTATCAGTGGCTTGTGACCAAAATATTGGGTGTTCACAATGACATAATATAGGTCTCAGTACAGTTGTAGGTAAAAAAACTTTCAGTGCGACCTATATTCTGTCATTGTGAACCCCAATAATAGTGTTCATATATATATATGCGCAGAATACGCAACCACATAGCATGCATGCTGCCGGAAATATGCACCTACGCATGCACGTGCCGAGATCTGTCTACCGGGATTCCTAGAAGTTGATAGGAGACAAGTTGTTTCCCCAGCAGCGAGCGTTCACACTGTTCTATACAAACTGACAATCACCAAAAAATAAATATGCACAAAATCTGCACAATTTGAACGCATAATGTAAACGCACAATGTTAACGCACAATATTAACGCACAATATTAACGCAGAATGTGAACGGACAATGTGAACGGACAATGTGAACACCAATGGCCGCTCTTGACTAAAAAATTGGGGGTTCATAATGACAGAATATAGATCTCAGTACAGATGTAAGTACAAAACTTTCAAGTGTTTTAGAAAGGTTTTAATATAACTTTATAAAACACTGATAGTTTTTTTCCTACATATGTTCCGAGATCTATATTCTGTCATTGTGAACCCCCAAAATATTGTTCACAAGCCGCCTCTGGTGAACACACAACTTTTTCCGGTAATACACACACATATTTTACGGATGCTAAAAATACGCATAGTGTGGTCCCGACCTTAATACATTTTTATAGAGTATATTATTGCGACTAATATAATGAATTTTTTTTTAAAAATATTAAGTAAATTATGTAATACTTAAGACACAGAAGCATCCATACTAAAAATTATTCTTAATAAAAGCAAACAACTCTTATCACTGTCAGAAAGTACTAAAAGTTTGAAGATAAACAATTGTTCACACTCCTGTACACAAAAACGTTTGAATGAAGACTGAAATAATAGGCACATTTATTATTTTAAAACTATATATCTTGCACATCCGGTTAGCCTTATATGTATTTCTTAAAATACGTTGGTTCAAAATAAAATATTTTAAAATTTTGAATTATTTTTGACCAGAAAAATGCGATTAAACCCCTGTATGCGATGTAGCAATGTTCCATATTTTGGTTGACTGTGAACAAGAAGAATTTTGATTACTATTCGCAATTCAAATTAATTTTCGCGCGCCTGTCATTTGTCACGTATAAGTAGGATGTTTGTTTATTTACGTGTTGTGGGATTTTGTATTTGTGATTTTTTAACTGTTTTTAGATAATATTCTTATTATAATAGTGTTTTTGAGTTTCATTTAGTGTTAATTTAAGTTTAGTTTTCGTGCTTTCGTTATAAATGTAATTTTTCATGTGTAGTACGAACTAATTTGTTGGAAATATTGACCTATTGGTTGCTACAAGAACATCTAGAAATATGTATTTACTAAACCCATGACATGTTTTATTATGTGGTTTAAAGGACATATCAAGTACCAAACGTTTATTATTGATGAACTTCTTTAAAAATGTTACTATCCTTATTCTTATATCATGAAGTGAATTGTGTAGTACTTTGTATACATGTAAATGGTAATAAAACCGTCACAACTCATATTGGAGTTTGATTCTAAACAACGTTTTGCAAAATTTCAATATTGTGAATTTGTAGATACCCATTTATCGTAAGAAACAGAATTTTATGACTTGCACTTGAAAAATAATGAATACTCCAGTTTTGATTTTGACAATAACACCATACAGATTGCAATTTGCTGGAGGCTTTTTCGCAGATTTCATTTTTAATTTAAATACTATCACATACTATAAGAAATAAACAAATTTAAAGCTAAAAAGTAACAAAAAACTCTAATTGTAATTGATACAAATTAAAATGTAAACAATAAACACGAACGCCAATGTTGCCAAATGATGAACTGATTTTGTCTCTGACTGATTTTAAAACTAAAATTAATAAATGAACTGATATTTAAAAAAAAATCAATATAATAAATCGATTTTATAAAAAAATCCTTAAATAAATAGTATGATTACATATTACTAGACACAAATTTTGATTCTTAAATAAAAGGTCTTATCCATTTCTTCAAGAACTAAAATCTGACGACGTAACGAAATTTTGCTGCTTCTGGCAACACTGAACGTCATCCTACTTATAGGGACCTTTTACTAATTTCCTCCAGAGGGCGTATCACTTAGCTTGAATCGCGAATACAGAATAGGTTATGTTTGACTTTCATGGCCACCCCATAGATTTAAAAAGAAACTGAACGGAGTATATTATGAATATTCGAAGTAAAACTTGACAGATGATGGTAATAGTTTAATATACAATACTTACACAATTCTTTCTTTTCATCAATTTGGAGAGAGTGTCGTCCAATTTATTGGAAGTTTTAGGTAAAGGAGTTGGAGTCGATGATTTTTTAACAGAGAAATCTTGAACTTCGTTTTGCATATCAAGCGTGGCTGATTTTTCACTTTTTGGAATGCTAAAAAATTTAAAATTACTAAAGATATTAAAAAAAATACAACAAAAATTTACCTTGAACTCAAATCAATTGGAGTAAGAGTACTACTAGTTCCTGGAATGACAGTTGTTTGCCCGATAGTTTTAGTAACCTGAGAATGGTGGTACTGCAAGTCGTACGGCATTTTCATTGCAGTCAAATTCAATCTAGCCGCTTGTTGATGCGCTGGAGGCGGTTGAACATTTTGAACCGGAGTAGACCGTCTAGATTCCTCCGAATCATCGTTGTTATCCCACGACATAGTATGCTTGGGAAGTGGATTAGTAATGTGACTACTGTTCAAAAGTGCGTGCAATTTAGCTCTTTCAGTTTCCACATCGATCGCTATGTGCCTCTTTCGTTTTTTGTTACCCGCGAATCTATCACCGCTCATACTTATCACTTCAGTATCGCCAATAGACATGGGAGTCGAAGTCTCCCTTTTGGGAGGTTCGTTGGTCAATTCATGGATCGGTATATCAAATTCGTTACCGATACCTGTCGCGTACGCCGAGAAAGATTTAGTGACCGGCCATTCTTTGGTCTCTACCGCGTATATGATATGCTGCAATCGAACTTGTATCGCGTACTCTTTCGGCCACTTTACGGCGTTATTGAACAATTGAGCTACGGTTGTTTCAGTGAAATCTAACGCCCCCGTAAGCGGTTTATCTCTGAGAACGAAAGTATCGACTTGCGACAGCCGCGATAACGGTTGAATTACTTCAAGATCCGGAAACATGGCTTTAAGCTCGGCGGCTTGTTTAGAACACAAATCTGCTTCTTCCTCTGCCAATTTTTTAAGAACTTCTTTAGAATCTTTTGGTTCTTGTGCGGGTTCTATCTGTTCTTCTTTTGGTTTCGATAGATCTTCAGTTTCGGGTTCATTTTCATGTTCCTCTTTTTCTGGTTCCTTTAATTCCTCTTCCGGTTCGCTTTCTTTAGTTTCCTTCAATTCCGGTTCTTTCTTTTCCTCGACTTCTTCTTTTTCTTTAGTCTCCTCTTTTTCTTCTTTTTTCTCTTCCTTTACTTCCGTTTCTTTCTCTTCCTCTTTAACTTCGTCAGTTGGTTCTTTTTCGCATTTTTCGCTCTTAACAATCGTCAAATTTACTTTGGCATCTTCTTCGGGCTTTTTCTCGGTTGGCTCCTTTTTATGAGCTACTTTTTCGATTTTTAGAGTTCCTTCGCCCTTTTCGAGTTTAACCAAAATTTCGTTTTTGTCAAATTTGAGGATGTCTTCGTGACATTCCAGTTTTATTGCATCTTTCGAATCCGTCGTTTCTGAGCGAACCTTTTTTCTCAAAATTTCATGGAAAGAGAGGTCTGGATCATTTAGTAAATAATAATCCGTTCGTCCTAGGCCGTGTCTGAAAAATAATAAATAATAAATTGACATCATAAATATTGGAAGACCGAAGAAGACACAGTAAAATTTGAATTTATCGTCTATGTGCAATATAAGATTTCAAAAGGGTACCAGTACTATAATAATAGAGTTTACTTAGTAGGGTGGTCATAAAATTCAATGTTCACTTCCAACAGTTGCTAATTGACTAAGAACTGAGATTGATAAACTTACAGCTCAAATGAATAACCTTAACCTGTGCCTCATCGACTTTTTATGAAAGTGTCTAAAAAATTACAAGATTCAATTACATCTACTTTCCAGATTTTACTTTATTTTTTCAATTTGTATATAAAAAAGGTATCAGTTTAAACTGTTTTCAAAAGGAGAATAAAAAAGTAAAAAGGTATAAAAATGAGAAATATAATGCATTTTAATATTTAAAGATGAGTTACAAAAAAGAAAGTATAAAGGAAGATATTATTTACATTTATAAATTTTTATTATCATAATTGAGGAGCTTTGGGGCAAAACCGAATAAATCCACTATAAACGATTTTTGGGAAAACACGATTTTCCAAATAGACAAAAAGTACTGGTTTTTCGTTTGTTTGGTGAAAACAATAATATTGGAGGCATCATAAATAATACACCCCCTGCAATTATAATTTTGAAAAATAATTTTTGTTAAAAATATGACAAAAAAAAATGATTTATTCAGTTTTACCCAAATCAAAATTCAAAACTACCCGCACTAATATAAGAAGAAAAATAAATGAAAATAAAGAAATATTTCTTACAAACTGCTTTTAAACTACAGCGAATGCTGATGTGTTGTTTACACCACTTTACTAGTGGATTTATTCGGTTTTGCACAAACACATCAATTTCGACAATTAATTTTACAAATATTTATTCGGTTTTGCTCGGACAGGTAGTCTATAAAGATGTAATTTAACAAAGTAAGTTGAAATCTGTCGCTAACTTAATTTTCTTAAAAAGTGGATTTATTCGGTTTTGCTCCAATGCTCCTCAATTAAGGTAATAATGGCTTAGATAAGGTAGCCTTTGAAGTGTTAGGAACATTTTTCCTACATTCAAATACAACAAAAATTGCATTTTTCTTCGTCTTTCGTCAGAGGTATTGAAGTCTTGGATTAATTTTATACCTTTCAGCTGTCTCACCGACAATCAATTTTTTTTTTATTTTTAAATAAACATCGAGACTGTTGCAGAATGAATTAATTTTATTTTCTCATTTTAAAATATTCGCGCTTTTGTCCCAATTCGCTTATTTCTAAATTTGACCACACCAGCGCTTCATAAACGTAAAACCAGTGAAGAGACTTTGGATCAGAACAAGTCAATAAATTGCTTTCATACACTTTGATGTGCCGTGTGTGTCGCCATACTTGCTAACGTGAATAATACCGCTACGACTGTGTTACATAATTACAACCATCATAATCAGGCCCGATCCTAAATGTGCTTATACAATATTAAGGTAAGCGAATTTGAGAAACGTTTCCTTTTTTTAGTTTCACAACCAGCCCCTTTAGGAAGTATTAACTCATTCATTCTAAAACAGAGACTATTGTTTAAAAATTCTGTATCAACTTGTTCTATACTAGACTTTCACATCATTTTTTTTTTAGACTTTTCATAACCATTAGTCTTTACATTTTTTCAGCAAGAAACGTAAATGCGGCGGCTTGCTCAGAATTAAGATAAAATACCACAGATGTATTATTTTAGACAGTGCCTTGTCCGCAAGATCTGTATCAAATCAATTGTAAGGGTCTTGGTTGAGGGCCTAAGTGGGTTTAGGAGCATTGAACGATGCTTTTACATAAATATTGACTATAAGTAAACAAATGTAATACTATTTTTTAAACTGTGTAACGGGTTGGATCCGTTATTTCGGACACAATCACCTCTTACTCAAATGTCATTTGTCGTCTATGCTTTGTGTCAGAGAAAGTGACATTTTTATTTCATCTGAATAGATCACTTTTATTTTAATTTTATTTTGGTATTCCGAAATATTAATTCATATTTATTTATGTTAATGACGGTTTGATTTTATAAGGTACGTTTTGTTAAAAATATGTTATTAATTGAATAGTTAAAGCATTTTATCTAAATCCTTTTCAAATTTCCCTAAATCTATAACATTTTAACCTTTTTAGCCCATGGTAATCTCTAGACGGTTTTTGGTTCGAATACAATAAGAATCATTTATCTTGAAGATCGTTCAGGTTCCAATACAAATAGAATCATATACAGTATGTCTCCCTAAGTTGGAATCATATGGAAAACTTTTTTATTATTAATTTTAGAAAAAAAGTTATTCTTCATAAAAAGTTCTGCATTATCTAAAATCTAGAATACAGTCATCAAATATCAAATTTTTCAAGCCGTATACGAGGTTTGCCAAAAAATATGAATTTTGCTCAAGAGTAGGTTTATTTTTTACAAAATCGAAAATTTTCATTAAGAAAAATTGATTAGAATTGAAAATTACATTCAAATATGCAATTACACTGATCTATCTGAAAAATCAGATTTTTTCTAGATTTTGCATTGATCCACCTAATTACGGTAATCTATATTTTTTTTCTCTTCTCTGCTATAAACATGATACGCTTTCCTTTTCTTGATGTTTGTGAAGAATTTAGCAAATTTCTTAATGAACATTTTCGATATTATCAAATTTAAAGGTACTTTACTCTTGAGTAAAACTCATATTTTTTGACAAACTTCGTATAGCACTGAAAAAATTTGATATTTGATGACTGTATTCTAGGTTTTAGATAATGCAGAACTATTTTTGAAGAATAATTTTTTTCCTAAAATTAATAAAAAAGTTTTCCATATGATTCCAACTTAGGGGGACATACTGTATATTGAAGATCATTCACGGTGCAATCACGAATGAGGGTTATGAATAAGAATCCCGAATTAATTGGTGGAAGTTGCCTGGCCGGTATTATTTTTAGCGATTTATGTATCTCTGCAGTTTGGAGCGAAGGATGAAACACCTGATTTTACCTTTAACTTACCATACCGTATATTACCTTATTTACCACACAGATAAGTGCAATTTATCTAATCAATAAAATGTTTTAAATTTGAATTATGTGCAAACTTATGTGAATTAGAATTGATACCTACCTTATCTAAAGCATGTTTTAAGTATTATTTGTTAGTGGTTAGTGATTTACCTTTAATTTGAACTTTATTTTACCGATGCATGATTGCAATTTTTTTGTCACATGTTACAACTGTTAAAAATTGATTATTAAAAAGATATTTTGAGATAATAGTTGGTCTTTGCTATCCATCTAGCTCGATGAATAGCACCAGGTATTCTAAAAAATTTGGGAAGTACGTCCTAAAAAATTAAACAAGGTTGGATAATTCTTTATAATAATCTCTTGGCATTTGGTTTTTTTAATTGTTCGATCAGGAAACTTGATATTTGGTCTGAATTACTTATTTTATATCTAATATCTTCAATATCAGTTTTGTATTTTGTTTTGGTTTTATTACTATGTATTGTATAATAATGTATATAACACATTAAATAGGCAAAATTTATTAAATTAGGCATCTCTATTTTTCAAACTTTGAAGTATTCAAATCATGTCCACTCTTGGAATATAATTAATTTATTCAAATATAAAAATTTTAACGAAAAATTGGTTGGAGTAAAACTTCAAGACAACATTTTCTTTGAAATGAAACAAAAATTAAGTTTCTATGGTGAAAGGTTTTTATTTTATAATGAAAAATTACGATTTTTTTAATCGGATTTTACAAATGTAACCTCTATGAGGCACTGGTTAACGTTATCCAATTGAGCTAAAACTTTGTAAATCTTATTTTTTTAGATAAATGACAATTTTTAGGGGGTCCCGCTGGTATTAAGACGAATATATTTTTTCATCCTATACCTTGTAACCACCCTATTCCTCAGCTGACTGCAAGAGGTTGCAAAATCATTGTTTACATACCCGCTCACGTGACTGGAATCCCTACACCGACAGAAAATACCCACAAATGCATTTTTTATGTTCTTAACGTCTGGAATCATATTTCATTCCGGACAAAAAAGCAAAAATCCAACTTTAAATTTTATAGGTCACATGATTACTCCTACCCCCGAGACATAACACAGCTTATTCACGCCACTCCCCTGCACCCAACTACAAAGAGCAGCAAAAAAACATTGCACTATATCGTTATAGTAGACACAAAAGAAGGATATCAAAGTGGAATCGTTTAAATGATACCAAATTTTTCAAGCATCACGTGTGTCTTTTTTTTCCACCGGTTTGTTGGAATCGTTTTCTCGCCGATGCGGCCTTGAACGCCTTTTGTTGGATTCGATTTATTTATGGTTGACCGTTGAAATAAATAACAGTTGACATTTTGGATTAAAATTTGTGTTTATAATTTTATTTGAATGTACATATTTACTTTAATTTGGACGCATATATTTTTAAAATCTCATTTTTTCGGTTTTCCCACAAAAAACAATTAAATAATTAATTAACTCCTCAATTCTGATTAATTTTTGCAATCCATAGCTGTCAGTTGTCACATCTAATCGGAAAAACCATACATTGGAATGATGGAATGGTGTTGCATCGATTGCATCAACGTTGGATAAAAAGACAGCGCTGTTAGTTCATCATTGACAGATTGATGAAATATACCGCACCGATGCCAAACGTTGCTGCAACAGTTGGATAGAAAGACACACGTATCTCAAAACAATGTTTATAAAACATATAAAAATCTTTTTTACTTACTTTGCTACCCCCAACAACAAATCTTTGTCATGTTTACCGGCAATCCACCATTCAGGCATATCGGCTGATGTAACGCACACTCTTAATCTTTCGTCCAATTTAGGATGCATCAAAATTTCTTCTCTAATCCTCGACAGCAATTCCAACCGTTCCAAAGTCCTTCTCGCTTTTTCCTCAGAAATGTGTTCAATAGATGAATCGTAGTTGGATTCATCTATATTAGAACCGGTTTGCTTCTTGCACATCATAACAAAGTGCTTATAGTACTCCGTCAGTTCATCATCAGATTTCTTCTCCAACTTAGCTAACTGCTTGAATTTGATCCAATCGTAAGACTTTTTCTTTCTAGAATAAATGACACCATACGAAGATACAACTCTGAAGAAATCGGCTTCCTCTCGTTTAGTCCACCGTTTTCCAATTGTCGACTTTTCTCTTTCTTTGACGGGATCGCGCATTGTTTCCAATGCTTGCTTTCCTTGTCGCTCCATCTTCTGAAACCGTAAGTATCAATTCTTGCGATATTTGATGACAGGTTAGTAATGAGGCATGTTAAATTTGTTTAGTAAGCTAGTTAAAAGTAGTTTTGCTGTTTATTTTAGCGATATTAGTTTGAAATACTTTAAGTTTCCACTGCATTTGGGAAATTTGTCATCATTTGAATTAGGGTTTAAAACAATTAAAAATAATATTTTTCTTTTATTAAGAGTTTATAATTTACAGAATGTAATGTAAAAATAGGAATAGGATGTAGCCAGGTGAGAATAACTATGTAAATAAGTAAAAATAAATGTAGGCTTGGAGGCAGATTACTGTTTCTGTAAAATTTCTTGCAAACTGAATTAAATCGGTTGGGGCTGCAGCAAGATAGTGCGCCCCCAAACTTTGGTGTCTTAGTGAAAAACTACTTAATTGGAAGTCTTTCCAGATAGGTGGATTAGGCGAAGTGTAGGATGGCCACTTGGGTCAATAAAATATCGAAAAACTTACAGAATACATACGGATCGAGATGGAAATCATATAAATTCGAGAAAAGGATGATCTGAAAAGAATTAGGGCTGGAAATAGATACATTTAAGGAGTAAACAGTTTTTCAAAAACGCAAATAAAAAAATCATGGGTCAAAAACTTAAAACATGTGGATTTAAACAAAAGGACAAAGAAAAATTGCAAACAGAAATACATACATTATTAAGAGCAATACTGAATATGTAGAATGTAAACAGATAGTAGAAGATGAAGAATGGAAGAAAACAGAAGAATAACAATTATTGAAACGGAGATGTTAAATATAAATGATTGATAGTAATTGACAGAGGAAACTAATGAACCAGGATTGTCACTCTAATTTGTTGTCACAGTAATCTTAAAACATGTTATATAAAAAAAAGGAAACTACTTTAACAGATTTATGTATTTTTTTAGAAATTTACTTTCTGTAGAGCTTGAGGAATGCGAGATCTTTTTAGTTTTTTTTTTTTTATCAAATAAATATGCAAAAATAAACAGCATGATTAATGTAAAAACTAAATAAATTAGATCAGATTTGATAATACAACTGAAATAAAAATATTCTACTAAAATATGTAGATACGAGAATCGGCTCTTCAGAATATTAAAAATCGTAAAACAGAAAAAGCATAAATCTACTTTGCAGGCTTTCTTGCATTTTAACAAGATTCTTATACAGGTTCTGTAAAAATACAACACAGGGCGGTATTTCACCAGTAGCACAAAGTAACCTGATAAATAATATGAGAGGAATATAAAAAATTTATCCACCCCCTCCCATAAGTTAATACAGGTTTTAACGATTAGTCTAAAGTGTAATTTATAACCACCGTAACGTAACTTAACGGCATAGAAACTTAACATAAAATATAAAAATAGTCTATTTATAAATATCCGTAATGTAAAAGTTGAGCATGCTTGTTGTATTACAGAGATTATCAAATTATAGACAACCTAATGAAATAAACAAGTGTAAACTATGTACCTAAACTCTAAATAAAACCCATAAATTATGATATTTCTATATAGAAAGAATATATTAACTACTTTAAAAGCAATTATATAAAAATATAATGAAACAGAATAGTGTACTAAAGATGTTGATTGTTTTTGAGCAATAAACGGAATTTAATCTTCCCTAGCAAAACAGTTTTGTGTATGTAGAAACACTCATATCTCATAAATATTTTATCCTCAATAATATAAACACAAAACATTCAAACGTCATGATAATGTATGTCCATAATAAAGGAGAATGACAGTTTACAAATATATTTGTCCTTTCACTTATTAAAAAAAAATTAACAGAAGAATAGACAGTTATCACATGCAGAACTCAGAATTATCTCATTGGCTGACCGTAAGGCCTTAAGTTGTTAAGTTAAAAGTTGGCGAACTTTCTACGGTACGTTAAGTTCTTAAGTTAGGTTACGGCGGTTATAAATGATGCTTAAGAGCTAGCGGCCGCAAGGTGGTACCATTGTACATCCGGTTGGAATTTTGTGAAGTAGTAGGCGGAACCATCTGCAAACAAGACGTATACAACTCAAAGTTGTATTTTTTTTTTTTTTGTTTAAATTTATAACACACATATTTTATTTAATTACTCACTTAATATGCGACACTAGCTCACTGAACAAGCAGTCGAATGTGCATTTCTCGAAGCGATTTATTTATTTTGGAAAAAATATGAAAATTGAAAAAAATGCGTATTATTGTTATTTTAAATACATGTTATTTATCATAATAATAATAATTATTATTATTAGGCTAAATAAAATGTATTTAAAATAAATAAACAATAATTATTATGATAAACAAAATGTTTTTAAAATAATTGAACAACTATAGTACGTATTTTTTCATATATTTTTCAAAATAAAATAGACTGGATTCATCGTAAATCGAACCGCGTCGCGAAATGCACATTCAACTGGTAGTTCAGTGCCCTATAAACTGAGCTAATGTTGCATATCAAGTGAGTTATCTAATGAAATATGTGTATTGTAAATTTTTTATTTGTTATTTTTTACAACTTTGAGTTGTCTGACGTCTAGTTTGCAGGAATTTTAAAATAAATCTTACACTTTACAAAATTCCAGCCAGAGGTACGATCGTACCACCTTGTAGTCGCTAGCTCTCAGTCTCTATATATACTTCGGAAAGATGTATATACCTTTGTTTCTTTCATATTATTTATCAGGTTCTTTTGTGCTATCTCTAAGATACCGACTTGTTTTAGAGGTACACCAAATATGTAAAACGCATTTACGAAGTTTTACGACCTATTTATCTTGATAGTTTTAGAGTGTTTTACATTTATTTTTAAATTTGTTTCCACATTTATTTTTAAATTATTTTGAATGTACTGTGACGCTTGCTATACTAAAATTAAAACGTCTTAAAGTTTCTTTATGAATAAGGCCTTTTAAATAATTATTACAGTAATCTGACCTAAAATTATGCAATAAAAATGTGTGTATCTTTTTTTTATGTGAAAATATTGTACAGACACTAGAATACACTTTTCATAAAAAAATTAAGCATACAAAAAAATATCAATCAAGTGTTTAAAAATGTTATAGAGACAGGATACTGATGGTGGAGTTTCATTATAAATAAATTCAATGAGATAATATACATTTTAATACAACCAAAAATCCACCATCAGCACTTAATTTGTCGAATTAACAGAACAGAACATAACAAAACGTCAAAAAGCTCCAATAAAAATTAACCATAGACCCTTACCTCATAGACAATACCGCCCATTGAAGGGGCTTACTTACCAGCAAATAAAGGGCCAGCTGTTGGAGGTCCCATCCCTGAAGCCCTAGAGCGGCCGCGTCCCTCGGATCGAACTGCTGAGACACCTGCGCCAGCGCGGCCAAAGGTGAGGACAGGGCGCTATCTATCTGGGGCTGTACAAGTGCAATACGTACTCACTACTAACTACCCGACACAGCCATGACGCTCATGCTCATGTGCACAAGAGAATGGGTACAGGGTAGATAGATTGATGAATGATTTGAGAAATGTTCGATAAGCACAAATGAACTATTTAATTTACACAAATACGTTATATCTACTCTAACCTGTTTATCTAGTAGCGTAGTATACATGGAATTTTTTAAATACATGTACCAGGTGTCCAAATAAAAAAGGAAACTGGCCGGCTACATCTAAAATTTCTTTTAACGAAAGTAGTGCCTAGAGATTGTTTGAAATTATTTTGAAATTGCTATACCTTTTAAACAATAATCTTAAAGATCAAAAATAAAAATAATGGTTAAAAATTTCAACACTTTGGTAACATTGTCAATGACACACCCATTAGGCAGCTGTTGGCATTGAACTAAATTAATAATATGGGCCGAAGATAGTTAGTTTTATGATGGTTTAATGGTAACAATGTTGCCAAATTTGATTTACTTGTATGCACTATGAATCCAAAATATGTGTTAATTTAACAATTATCAGAATTTTATTTTTCATTTAATTCTAAAATTTATTTTTCGTAACCAGTTGTATAAAGTAGAACATTATGCAACTGGTTACGAAAAGTTGATTATGTCACCAGTTACGAAATAAAAATGCTGTTTTTTCATTTTTTTAAATCGAAAAAAAAAAAAAAAAAAAAAAAAAAAGAACGAATAGTGACATTTGACATTACGTTTAACAACAAAAAAGAAAACAAAACTGTAAATTGCGTTTTATTTTTTAAAATTGAACACTGTTATTGAAAACTGACCAGAAAAGTTGAGGGTAAAATTTTGACTTACTCCTTTTAAGGATAACGGGTAAAAACGTTTTTTTTTTTTTAATTTCTCGCGGGTAATGTCACAAATCAGATCGGCAACACTGCACATGTCCCTTATTTTTATTACTATTGAAAAATAATTTTCTGAAATATTTGATTGGAAGTACCTAGAAAAGAGTGATGGTGAATCATTTTTTAACCAAATAGAATTTTATAAATTATCAAGTCAAATATGGAAAAAATCTTGTATATAACACATACATAAATAGCTATTTCAAAACCATTTTCCATTATGCAACTGGTTTCATAAAGTGGATCATTTTGACACTCGGTGTGATTACATACAAAAAATGTAAATATTTTTGTGCATTTGAGGAAAGTTCAAATATTAACAAATTTTAATATGTACCTAAGTATTTTAAAAGCACCTTGTAAGATTAAAAGTATTGGTCCATATACTTTTGCATTCAGTCAAATTGTAAAGGGCACCAAGCCCAGCTTCTTTTTCCGAATTTCACTAAACATTTTATTTTATGCAGCTACAGTGTCAATACTGTTGTTAAACCAACATTCACTGTACATTTGATTGTAGGAAACAAAAACATCACGACATGCCAAATTAAATGAATAAGAAGAATAATGTAATAATTTAATGTCTATAGTTCGGGAGTCACTGAGAATGCAGTATAGCCAGGCATAGGCAATGTATTTCTAATGGGAGACCGTTTTTTTCATTCTTAATATCTAATTGGAAGGCTTTCTACAGAAGGAAGCAACCCACAAATTTGTGATTTTTAGACTTTCGCATAATTTTGCATTAAGAACCGTAATCTTTACTGCATAAAAAGATCCAGGCCACATTCTGGCACCAAGCGTTGTTGGTCAATGAACCAACCGACTAAATTGGTTAATCAAGTGACTTGCCTATAAAATCAATCCAAGCCGCTTGGTTGCTTTCTGCATAATAGAGAAGAGAGTTGGTGACAGTTCGTTATTTGGCTCTCTGTGAGAGTGAGTGTAAAGTATTAAAAATAGAAAAAATATTTTTTTGTGATACAATATGAATGATAATATTAGCATATCTCAAAGAATTCTTCTGATGATTAAGATAAATAGAAAAATAGATGTTGAGAAAACAAAAATGGATGTTGAGCATAAAAAAGCTGTTTAAAAACACCTAAGATAATTCTTGATAAAAAATCTATTCTAATTTCTCTAAAAAAACAAAATTGATAACGACGTAGATATCAAAAAAACAAATGGGTCGTCCGGCATTATTTAAAGACTTCCTGTGGCTTGGAAGGAAAAAAGTCTAAAATCAAAGATAAGACAAAAAATCTGTGATGCATTTAATTCCGAACGATTGCATACAATTTTATGAACATATAACCGGCACGGACATTACAAAGACAATTTGTATTTTTTAACTACTTCCTTTAAAAATAAAGTATATTTAACTAAACAGTGCTAAAATCTATTTTACAGAAAAAAGCAGACCCACAAAAACCAAAAAATCCAAGTGAAATATATTCTTTTTTAAATTTGTAAGGCTAATGCCATATTAGGCAGACGTTCAGTGGCCGATTTTCAGCAGCAGAACGTCTGCTGCCAACAAACCCTATAATCTCTTAAGAGCAATTTATTAACTCACTACATTGAGCTGTAGATCGGTTGAAACGCCTAGAATTTGAATTTGCTAAGATCTGCGGCTCATTTTCGGCCATCAAGAAAGAGCAGGAACAAAAGCGGATAAGGCAGTTAAATGAGTTTTTTAACATTCCGCCAACTTTGAGTGCAATTTATATTATTCGAGGGAATGATAATTCATTATCGTTCTCCTTAAGAACCCTATGTATAGTGATAAAAGATATTGGTTTTGAATATGTGAAGTGTGGTCATAAAAGTATAATGTTAGAAAGAAACAACATCATTCATTGACGCCACAGGTATTTAAGAGCCATCAAACAATATCGTCAACAAAATTGTAACGTTATCTATTTAGATAAGATTTAGGTCAACGTGGGTCAAATGGTTAACTATGCATGGTGTGATAACACCATAAAAAATCGTAGGGATGGGTCTAACCATAGGCCTTAAAGCACCTACACAAGGAGGTCAACGTTTCGTTATTGTTCATGCAGGATATGCAGGTAGATTTTTACCTGACGCCGCGCGTGTTTTCTTGGAAAAGAAAAACGATGGCGATTATCATGACGAAATGAACGCTGACTATTTTGAGCAATGGTTTGAGGAGTCGCCGATTCCTAACTTACCCAAATATGGACGAAAGAACGTTGTTATGGATAACGTATCGTATCATTTACATACATTTAGTTTTCCAGCTACCACATGGAATAAACCCGAAATAAAAAAATTGGCTGTTTGAAAAAACATTTTCTTCAACTGCCAACGCATACTAAAGAGCAATACGACAAATATAAGATAGCATTGCGAGCTTAAACCGATAGAGATGGTATGAAATCAGGTAAAGCGCTATATTGCTATGAACAACTTTGATTTCAAGACACAGGATGTTCGTTCATTGATAGGTGAAGGCATTTGAACATGTCATTGAACAAAATTGGTGTAATTAAAAGGCACATGTCAGAGAAAAACCGGAAAAAGAAATGGGGTCGCTGATAATCTCCAAGACAACGTTGATGAACTCATTATAAGAGTAAATTTTGGCGACAGTTCTAAGAGTGAGCTTTCAGACCTCGACGATGACTTTTGTTTATTTATTTTTTTTTTTTTTAATTTGGTGTCATCGGCGTCGACTACTACGGCCATTAGCCTCGTGTTCTGTGTAGGCTTTGTTACTGTTTCCCAGCGCCACTTTAGGAACAGCACTGTTAATTAGAACCCAACAGTGAATGGTCGAGTGGGGAATCCTACCAAGGCATCAGAATTAATTTTAAATAATTAAATTAAATGAAAAAATTCCGGCCAACGGTGGGATTCGATCCTGAGACCTTCCGATCTCAAAGTCATGACTCTAACCACTGAGCCAACCCACCCCCCTTTTGTTTATTATTTGTTAAATTATAAATTTGTAATTTTGAAATTTACTGTTTATTATTTATTATTGAACATAAAAATTTTGAGAAAAAAATTAAACCCGTGTCGAAATTTGCCTGAGACCGGACCTGTTTTTTTTGCCGATCCCAGCATAGCAACGGAGCGCTTCATAAGACTTTACACTGCAATCTTAGTGTGTCTTGCACTATAGTGAGGTCAAAAAGTCGATTGTTGAGGCAGAAGTGTGGGGAGAATCATCATCTTTTTTTGTTTTCTAACGCAATTGTAGTACCATCTCTACTTTTAGGGAAAAAAGAAGTAACCATTTTTTATAAAATTTCGAGATTTCTAAATTTGGTGGGTGGAAGTTCATTAAACGATTTCATCTTATTTTGTTTAAAATCTATCATTTTAGAATAATAAAATGTCTAATTTTTCATTAATTAAAAATAGAACAATATAAGTATTGATTAGTAAATGAATAAAATATGATCATTTGTGCTTACCACGATAAACATATAAATAGATAAATAACCAATATAAAAATGTAGGTATAGATGACAAAAAATCTACATTTAAAAATTTAAACAATCAAGCGCTAAGCACATTTACTGTCAGGTAATGATAATCTAAAAAAGTTCCTCCACAGAATAATAAAAAATAACATTTAGAATAACATTTCAATAGTTTTAATATGTAAATAATCGTACTTTTCTCTTTAAGAAGAAAAAAAAAAACATTAAGTAAATAACAATTACCTTTGATTTAGATGCTGCCAATTTTTGTTCTTCCTTGCGACAATTTCTTTGATAAGAAGTAATGACTCTCCTCAATCGAGTATTAAGATCCGTGATGGTAGGCCAATTTTTGTCGTCAGATTCTTCAACAGGCCTGTCTTCATTGTCCAAAGGTCCAGGGGTTTCTGAAGAAGCCGACGGACCCGGTGAAGGTTCCGCAATTTCAGAATTTGCTTCAGAAGCGTCTCTGTTTTTGGATTTCAGACTTGATTCTTCGTTGGTGTCATCGTCTTCGGCGTCATCTTCGTTGCTGCATTAGAAAATTACATTTTTTTCATCTAGCGACTTCTCGTTTTGGATTAGTATTATTTTTTGTGGAAAAGAAGGTAAAAATTGAGATACTTAATTGAGTTGGATGCAAAATTTTCTAGTCATTTTATAAATTGTATTTCTTTTAGGCAAAAGATGATGCCATTTAAAATAAGAATCAAGAGTCTTAAAATGTTATAGCCATATTCAGATCAATTCTCTTTCGAATTAATATGAGTATGATCTGTTATCAGGACGTCAAAAAAATCTCGCTTATTTTAACTCGGAAACCATAAAAACAATTATTCTATTTCTACAATATTGAAATATGGATGGCCAAGAGGTATCACAACATAAACAAAAATTCTTAATAAGAACTGACACAAGCATTCTGCAAACCTTTTGCACCACTACTTGTTTCCTATCATGTCACATATACGTCAATTTTACTTTCTGTGGTAGCCTTAAGGCAAAGAGATTATCCTGCCTATAACTACCTAATAACCTTGGTTATCAGGAAGTTCATTTTTATTTAAAAATACAAGGTGGGCAACCGGTAACTCCTTGGTCTGTAGAGTCAAAACTAATTAATTTTTTAAAATCTGTTTTCTCAGCGAGATGTATATTTATATTTTTGAATTGTCCTCGCGTTTTCCATTATAACAAAACCAAATAGTATGGGGTTATACAGAGAATTTCATACGCTTTAACCAATTTTATATAAAAATCGTATTGATTTGAATGACCTGTATACTGCAGAAGAAATTTTGAAAACCTTTTATTTTGTTGTAAAAGTTTTTCGATATTAGTCAAAATTCATTCTAGTAAACTCAATTCGAAACAAATATACAGCGCAAGTTAAAATTCAAATTTATATGTAATTGTTTTAATCGATTACCCTGTATTTTTTATCACCATTCAAAAGTAGCCTAATTATACTTTCATTTGAGTTAAGAATTCTCTATACCTAAAGTTAATAATTTTGGGAGATTTTTAAATTAAAATGACAAAAAAGATAATTTACAAAATACTTTAATTGCATCTGTTTAATTAGTAATTCAAATTCATAAAGGTGTCATTTTATTATTGATTGAATAAGGTTTTGACAATATCTAAAGCAACTTTTGCATTTAGCAAAAAGGAAATAAAAATAGCAACCACAAACTTCACATGACCATTAAGTGTTATTTTGGCATATTTTATTTAATTAGAAGAAAAAATCAAATAGTTTCCTATAATATTTATGAAGGCCTAAAGATAGTTTTCAAAGGTCCGACTAACATTTCTAAGTATTTCTGAATGAACTTTTTCGCCATTTGACTTTAAAAATCTTTCAAAACTATTAACTTTGGGCATAGGGAATACTTATATCAAATTTAAGGATAATTAAGGTACTTTTGAAAGGTGATATAAAAAAATAGTAAATTAAAAAAAAATTGTATTTCAGTTATGACTCACGCAGTGCAAATTTGTATAAAAAAATATAGTGCGCTGGCATACTTGGTCTCATTTAAAAAAAAAAAAAAAATTAACTGTGATATGTATCACTTTCCTGGAGAATTCTGAATAATTGAAATTATTTTTAGGTAGATTCCATATATACAGACTTTTCCAAGGCTTTCCAATACAGTGAATCATGAATTGTTAATTCGTCAACACTAAGCAAATTTTGTTTAGGTGGCATATTGTTGCAAGCTATCTTCTTAATAGAACTCAAATAGTCAAAGTAAAACTTCACTATTCTCATTATTATTCTGTTACTTCTGGAGTTCCCCAAGGTTCCCATTTGGGACACCTTCTTTTTAATTGGTTTGTCAACAATAATTAACTTCCTTTTTTCAGCACAGTAATTTCTTAGTTTCTGCAGATGACCTATCAGTTTTCCAAATTGTCAACAACTTTGGAAATGTTATTGATTTACAGTCTGATAATAATCATGTATCCCATTAATGCAAATACAACGGCAAGAATTTAAATGTGGAAAAATGTCACATTATTTGGTTCCATCGTTCTCAACAGTCCACTAGATATGATTACACAATCAATGGTCAACTTTTAGATAGTGTTAAAAAATTAAATATCTTACGAGTTATTTTCGACACAACCTTAGCTTTAACTATCACATCTCTTCAGTTATAAGTAAATTTATGAAAATGTTAGGATTTATTAAAAGAACGACCCGCGACTTTACTAATGTAACTGCTATTAAAACTCTTTATTGTACTTTAGTTAGGAGTCTATATGGTCCCCATATCATGTAACGTATAAATTAAAAATCAATCCTGTTCAGAACGATTTCCTTAGGTACATAGCCTTTAAATTACAAACGTTTTATTATATACTATAATGGACTAGTTTTTAAAGGTACCCTCTCTGGAAACCAGAACAAAACAGAGACCTGATCTTACTTTTTAATATTGTTAATTCTATCGAAAATTAATCTTTTTGTTCCTACTCTTAGTACCAGGCAATCACAAATATTTTATATTCCTTTTTATAAATTTTATAGTAGTTGTATTCCTCGGATATTCAGATTGGCAAATTCTTTGGATAATATTTGATTCTTCTGTAAATAGATTTAAGCACAACATTCAAAATACACCAATGTAATTTTTAACAATTTGTTGCAACTTAAATGGGCTTGCCTGTAAATAAATAAATAAATTGTGGCCTTTTCTGATATACATCTCACTGTGGAAACAAATATAAAAAAAATCATTAGTTTTGCCTCTACAGACCGAAGCGTTATCGGTTATCGGTGGCCCACCCTATATACATTCCCAATATAATTTTTACCTTTGTCAATATACCTCATTTTACTCATTTCTTAAATATTTTATTTTATTCTATCTTATTATATGGATTTGATGGTATCATTAACTTTCATAATCCCACACTTAGTGCGGGATTTTTAATTTTAAGATGAATAAGTATGACAATGTAAAAAATAATTATATTATACAAAATGATTTTGTCTCCTGCCAACCTTGTTATGGCTGCTAGAGATAAGCTAGTGGAAAAGCCAAAATATAATCTGTCTACTTGAGCCACACGTACTGATCTCCAACATTTCACGCTACTACAAATTAAGGAATCAACCTTGCTCTAAGGAATCAACACATTAAACATGGTAACGTCTAACAACAACGCAAATAAGTTAACTACGCATCGTGACGTACATATTTTCTTTATCCCAGCAGATTCTACCATACAGTCGAATGATTCCGATCGATTCACCTGTAGGGATTTAAATAAATAAGACGTAGGATATAAGCCAAAAAATATCCAAAACAAACAGAAACCTAACTTGAACAATAAAACCAGAAAAATGTTTCACGCATACGCACATGATTATTAGATACCCGAGACGGCCTTCGGCAGTTGCATGTCTAATTCTAGTCACTTTATTTTTTGAAACATCTCTGCCTACCAAAAAACAATACTACTATTACTTTTAACGTAACATAAAGAATAGAAAAAAGGCCTTAAAAGTTTAAAGGAATAATGACAAAATTATTTAATTAATCGACGCGTATTATAAGCGACAGGAGATTGGTACCGTCTTTTATTTAAAAATATAAACGGATAGTTGGAAGAAACAGTGTTTGGAACGAAAATCTTTATAAATTGTTGTCGGCACATTGTTACTAGGAATAACATATTGGAAAAGAACAAATATTTTCATTTCGGTGTAGATGAAAAGTTCTGACGTGTTAAACAACATTTAATGAGAATCTTGAAATTATATCAGCAACTGAATGCCCTAAATTCTAGATGTTAAAATACATGTCAAACAAAAAATATCTAACGACTATACTGACTTATGAAAAATTATTTTGACGCAAATAAGACCAAACATTTCACTTGAGGAGTTCCGGAGTGCTACAGATTTATTTAATTACTCCAACCTTACTAAACAAATGCAGTGTTTTTTCATAGATTACACAAATCGTTTCAAAACACAACACATTTTCTTCTCTTAAAGGTGTTCACCTTGTATTACTAACTTTCATAGATTACTCCAACCCTTTCAAAACACACATCAACACACCTTACAACGTTATTACCAAACGTTTTAACTTTTGTGACCACGTTTGGCCATTAGAAAAACAAAAGCTTGCTTATTTCTATATAGCAATACCGTAAATTATTATTCATTATCTTCAATAATTTAGTTTTAAGATAATAAACATGAAAAACACAGAGTTGATAAAAAAATGCAATTTCATTATTGTTAGTTTCCAAATTAATTACGACTTCATTTGCATTCATATTTATTACGATTGTATATCTACTTAAATTAAAATTAACAAGTGTAATCACCTGTATGTGAGCCCTTAATTTAAGCTTCTTTTAATAAACAAAAAGTTAAAGATTAATTATTTAAAAGTGTAATATTCATTTTTTATTCTATAAAGGACATGGTTTTATATAAAATTATCTCAAAAATGAAAAATACTAGGTATTGACTTAAACAAACATTTCAACAATTTTATCAAATTTCTACTTTTAAGGTACCTTCAGAATTCAACTTATATTTTTAAGTTCTTTTCCACAGTTTCTTATTACTAATGCCCGGTCTTACCTTCCAAATTCTGGATAAAATCTTCGTGCAAAACAGATAAAATTTAAAAAAATAATCTGTACTTTATTTATATTTGGGCAAAAAGCATATAAAGGCAAATGAAAAAATACTGATTGGGACTACAGAAAGAGAATAAAACTCAACGAGTTGCTTTGAAACTTCAATTTTAGGTTTCCGAATTACATTGTTAATGAATAATCAAATTGTAAATAGTCAATTTTAAAATTAACAATTCGATACTTTTGCAACTACTCACTTACCTTCATTTGTAAGATTTTAATTATTACATTTTTAAAAATAATTCTACCAATCTTTAAAAAAAAAAAAAAATTATATTTAAATCCTTATTCTAAACAAAACACAATTTATTAAGAATGATGTTACACACACCTATAACCTATGTTATTTGTTTCCAA